CCTGTAGTAGACCCCCACAACCAAGTCCTTTTCCCCTGCCCCCCCTGGATCCTGACCCACAATGCCTCAGTGTTCCCCTCCTCCTAAAATTCAATGTGAAAGCAGTCTTTAAATGTACATTCTATCAATATCTACTTAGTAGTACAGAATATAGGGTGTGGGTGTGTGGAAGGTTAGGGTGTGTGGGGGGATTTGTGGTTTGTGGGGGGAGTGGATAGGCATGGGGGGTGTATGTGGGGTGGGAGAGCATGCGGGTAGGTGTGTGGATATGGGGTGTGGGTGGGTATGGGGTTTGTGGAGAGGCTGTGTGTGTTGGGGAGAGAGTGGCTGGGTAGGGTTGTGGCATGTGTGGAGGGGGAGGGTTTTCCCACAGCCACCCCATGGCAGGCAGACCCCCCTCAATGCTCCTCCAAACCTGGGCTCTGCGCTCCTGCCCTTGGGGCACTGGCATGGCCCCGTGCTGCTGCACACAGCCACTTCCCCCACATCTGCCACTACTACCCTTCTGCCACCTCCCTGTCTCCTGCCCCAGCTAGCCACTCTGGCACCATGTCCCAGCTGTATGGCAGAGACTGCAGACTGCAGCAAGAGCTGGACTGGCCTGGCTGGCTCCTGCTGCATTCTGCAGCCTTGCACTGCAGCCAGGAACCACATGGTGCTGAAGCAACCAGCAGGGGGTGGAGGGGAGCAGTGGTAGCAGTGGGTAAATGGCTGCGGCAGGCAGGGAAGAGTGAGAGTGAGCAGGTGTGCAGAATGCAGGAACAGCGCCAGAGAGGCCCAGTGGGGTGGCAGGAATGTAGGGCAGGGGCCAGCAGGGGCTCTATGGAGTCAAGCCAGGCTGTGCCAGCAGGGAGAAGGGGAACCAGCCTGGCTCCAGAGCCCCCTCTAGCCCAGGCCCCATGCTCCTGCCACCCTGCTCTGGGCCCCACCGGCCCTGGCCCCAGCGCAGACTCTGCATTCCAGGCCAGCTGTTGCTGTGCTCCACACACCCGCTTGCTACCACTGCCCCCTCCCCCCACCCCACATCTGCTGCCACTAGCAGTGCTTCCCTGCCTGTGGCTGCCACCACTTCTCTCCACCCCACACTGGCTGCTCTGGCACCACATGGTTTCTGGATGCAGGCTGGGAGCTTAGCAACCATCTTGGCCCAACCCTGAGGACTGGGTCGATCACCCGTGGTCCTCCCCTGCCACCCCCACCAGATATCTATATTTCCCTCCAGTGCAGGATGGCAGGAACAGCCCCAGGGTCCCAGGCCAGAACCCTCTGCTCCACTTGGGGCTTCTGGCTGGGGGTGGAAGAGGCAGGGCTGGCCAGGCCTTGCTTTTGTAGTTGCTTGGCCCTGCCGGTGGCTTCCCCTGGGTCCTACTGCCCCTGGCTCCTATCATCTTTGACAGGCAGCCAGGGGCAGAAAAATATTCATTTTCTAAATATTTTAGGGGCCCTGCAGGCCAGAAAAAATGGCCTGGTGGGCTGGATTTGGCCCGTGGGCTTTATTTTGCCTGCCTCTGATTTAGTGCAAGGCCTGCAAGGTGTGATCCACACATACGGCATGATTGCCCCTCATACACGCAAAAGCCACTGCTCCTTCTAGAATGGGAGCATCTTACAGACAGTGGGGGTATGCAGGTGGAACCACTTAGTGCAGTGGTTCTCAACCATTTTAGCCTCCAGACACCCCTTGTTAAGATTCAAGACATCCCTTGGGAAATGTCAGCTCAGCTCTCACTCATTTTTTGACTACAGAAATATAATAAAGCAATTCTTTTGTTGCAAATTGTTCAGAAAGACCACCGTGGGTCCAATGGTTTTTACCCAGTAGACTTCTATTAGAAAAATCTGTGTTTATCTTGTGATTCCTGTGTCGATAGCTGCAGACCTAACAATGCTAATATCAAATGGCACTCTTAAAAGGATCTCATGGAATCCCAGGGTGCCACAACATCCCAGTTGAGAATCACTGATTTAGCAATATCTAGGGAAGTGATGTGGCTACATCCCCGGGAAGGGCTAAAAACAGCACAAAGGGGAATTAAGTTTTCTCACCATTATTAGTCCTGCCCTCCCTCCTCACATTAGTGATCCTGGGACTGGGAAGAAGCCAGCTTTACATTCCTCCAACATTTTCCAACCACAGTTCTCAAAGCATTTGGCAAATGCTGATGATTCCCCAGGTCAGTATCATTATTTCTGTCTCACCAGATGGGGAAACCAAAGCACAGGAAAGCACTTGTACATGACCAGACCTTAAATCAACAGCAGAGCTGGGAAGGGAACCCAGCCCTTCTAGTTTGCAGCCTTGCAAGTCAGATGCAAAGTTCTCATTTCCTTCCAAGCCTGTGGGACTGCCAGATACCACAGAATGGGCAGCAAGGGATTTGACACAAGCTCACAGGTGCTGTGCTAGTTCTCACATGAAGCAGAAAGGCTTTGCTGGCCCTGCACTGATCCCAGCCACTACACTGAGACAGGTTGAGCAGGGCATCAGTAACAGACCTGCTGAGCACGTTCACTGTGGGACAGAGCATGCTGGGATGTGGAGCTGCCCATGAAGCCTACACCTGCTTGCCCCTGTGCATGCTGCTGTGATTAGGCCAGGGTACCTCAGCAGCAGCAGCTCACCAGCTTGGAGAAAAAAGAGGCTGTTATCTTGTGCTGCATCCTGGCTGTGGCAGAAGCAAGCCTGAATGGAGCAGGGGAAGCATGGAGTGGGTGGCGCAGGGCCAAGGATGTGTGAGCTGGGGGAGGATGTTCTCTCCCACATGAGGGCTTAGTCACGAGAGCTGAGTTACTCCCTGGGAGTTGGAAAAAGCTACCCCATTCCCAGAAAGTTCCCAGGTGGAGGAAGCCAGCTTTCTTCCACACAGTGAGTCACCAAAGCAGAAACTAACTCAGACAGCTATCACCAACCCCCCTGTGACTGGCCTAATGCAGTCACTGCTGATGCACTGTCACTCCCTGTCCCCTCCTCTGCTGCTCCTGCATGCAGACATGGAAGGGAGGTGGCAGCCCAGCACTCCTATATCACCACTGCTTCTACAGGTGCACAACGGCTCAGCATGCAAGTTTGCCACTGCTGAGACTCCTGCCTTTCCCAAGCAACCCTGCTGATGGCTATATCAAGGCATTTCACAGCACGTTCTGGCTCCCACCTCCTTGGGAAGCATACTCAGGGAAGCCAAGTCACAAAATGGGAAAGGACCTATTCAAAGTCAGGCTGTTTTGGGAACTCCCAGCATCCATGCTGTCCTTTCACCATGGGCCTTTCCTCCCTCTCCACTCCACTGCACCCTGCCTACCCTGCCATGCTGCACTCCCCATAGCTTCATGTTCTGGAAGAACAGACCTCCCCAGGATGCTGATAGGTGTTCCAAGTCAGGAGAAAACAACCCCATGAAGATGGAAGAAGGAGGGCAAGTGCATGAGTTGCCCTCTGTCAGCTCCAAAGCAGTGGCGAGCAAGCACTTTGGCTCAGCCCAAGCATGGGGTCTCCCATAGGACAGGGCCCTTCTCTGCACTACACTGGGTGCACCTACATGTAGAATTAATTTGAAGCAACAAATTTTGGTGCTTATTGCACTGGAGTTTATTGCTTCTGTGTGTGCCATTTGAACATGTGCCCAGGACTGCAGCAGGTTGAGCCAGGTCAGAGCAGCCCCAGCTGGCAGAAGGCCTGGGGTGTCAGCCTGACAGCCCGGGGCTGCTCCTTCTGGCTCAGCATGCTGTGGAGGAGCTGGCTGGGGCACAAGGTTGCTCCAGTGCAGGGCTAGCCGGTAGGCAGCCCCCACGCTGAAGCACTCTCATGCCCCAGCCAGCTGCATCTGCATCTACATATGCAGTGTTGCAAAGTAAAAAATTCCACAGCGGGATAGCTCTTGTATTCACAAGCAGTATCTGCTGCAGAGTTTATTAGTTTACTCCAGCCTAATAGCCCTGCATGTGTAGACGTGAGACATTTACTGTGGAGCTAATTAGTCTACTCTGTAGTAAATGTCTCATGTAGACACACCTGCTGAGTCCAGATGGCTCACTGCCTCTGTTACAGCCGTGCTAAGTTCTCACTGTCTATATTAGTAGTGTCTTAATTGATTTCTATTGTAAAGCCTTATGGGTACCTATTACATAATTCCCAGGCATAAGTCTCAAGAAAAGGGCATTCTGGGACTTTTTGCAAGGTCACCGCTGTCTTGAAGAAAATAAGAATGATTCCTTGAACCGTTTGGTCCTGTTTATATCTACAGTGGCACTGAGCCCATTCAGGCTTTAGCCAGCGATTCAACTGGCTGATAAGCAGTCTGTTTTAACTTATTATTAGACCAGCAGGATGTGCATAGATGCAGATGCAGTGTTCTGAAAGTCAGGGTTTTGGGCAGGGCAATTCTTCTAGTACAGTGGTTCTCAACCCTTTTCAAGTTGAAGCACCCCATAAGAGATTCAAGACACCTCTCAAAAAATGCCAGAACTTAGTTTTCACTCATGGTTTGACAAAATAAAAATAGAAAAACAATATTCTTCTGTTGAAAAGAATTCAGAAAGATCCCAACAGACTGGAATGGTATTAACAGTGCAATTCCTATTTGAAATTTCTGTGTTTATCATGTGAATCATGTTTGCATACCTAACAGTGCTAACACTGTGTGGCACCCTGGTTGAGAATCACTGCTGTACTGAAACCCATACTGGAGCACTGATGCTAAACTAGGGAAGAAAGTGGCTTTACAGGGATTTAAGAGATCTGGTTCAGGACAATGGATCTCCCCTTGAAGTGAGCACCAGCTCTGGGGAAAGTTGCTGACTCAGGTAATGATGGCTATGCTGCCTATTCATGCAGTCTGCTTCAGGTGTGAGAACACACCCATTCAGTGCACTGAACATAATGGCTTGAGTGACCCACCTGGCCCTGTGGGATCATTTAATAATAAATAGCTTGCAAGCAGTTCCCCAAGATCCTGCCTTAACTCCTGCTGGCCTGTTTGGTTGAGAAGCCCGAACTGTTTTACCTTGAGCAGTTCCTTGGGGAAATCTCTCCCTCCGTTGAGTCCTTCCAAGTTCCCAATGAAGTCAGAGCAGGACATTCTCTTCCCGATGTTCTGAGGGAGCCAGGGAAGAAGAAACATGGCTTTGATAAGTGGGGGCAGTGGCTGGACAGAGTGTCTTCCCCACCTAGGCTCCTCAGGGACAAGTGATGCACAGGTAAGCATGTGGACCTTGTGGAAGGCTGCATGGAAGCCTCCTTTCCTAAGGTCCAGGGACCTTTCAATAGCATCTGTCCTGAGCTTCCAAGGTCAGAGATACCCCCCTTAGGGATACTCGTCTCATCCAGTGTCTATTCTGCTTTCCTCCTGCTACTTCTTGTCCAAGCTGTTTCTCTCTTCCTCTCTCACCCGCCATGCTTCCCTCCTTCTTGCTCCTTAGCCCTTGCTCTGCTCTCTGCTGCTTGGCTCACTCCTCTCCTCCCTCATTCAGTCTCTCCCCTTTCTTCCCCCTGATTCTTTTCTCTCTCCTCCCTTCTACTGTTTCTTCAAGTGGGGTTTGTCCCTTACAGGTCCAAGACTGGCTCTCTGTGCAAGTCATATCTCCTGTGGAACTGGACAGTGGGACGAGGGGGTGGAATTCCTTGGGAGGGGGAAGAAAGCAGACAGAGTGTGGACTTACATGCCCATGAAGGTCTGTGTTTAACAGCATCAGAGCACAGGTCAGAGTGTGGGCTCCATCTGCAGCACAAACAACACACATGGTCAGAGCCCCCACAACCCTGCTGCATGTGGCCATTCAGTCCACACATGAAACAGTCTCCTACCATGCAGAGGGTGCTGACCCTGACAAGAGCTCTAACACTGCTCCCAAGAGTGATCATGCAGCTTAAGGGACACTGGGTGGTTGCTGAGGTGCTGTGGTTTACAAGATGATGCTTCATTACATTCTGGGACCAAATGGACCATAAGTCATTCCAGAACAGCATCCTTTCCATCCAGGATTAATGTTACAACATTCCTAGGGGTGGGGCAAGGAAGCTGGGGGAGATGCATGACATGGCCTGTTCCATCCAGCGAGCCATAAATCTACCTGCTGGTAGAGCTGAATCAAGGCCAATTCAGCTTGTGAATACCCAGGCATGCACAGCTGAATCAAAGCACAGGCATAAAGAGCCAAGATGAAATAGGAGGTCTGGACAACTTCTGGCAGTGACTGAGCAGCAGGGCTTCTGGCCTACCTAACCCTGCTACTCTGAGTTACAGGACTCAGATATTAATGATCTCTCTTCTTGTGTGAATCTGCTATAGAGCAGAGTTAAGGGGGCTTGAAGGTTAAACATCTGTCTTTTTAATGTATAGCCATTGCTCTGAATTCCTGGGGTTTAAAAGGCTGTTTGGGGAGAATGACAACATTCCTGCAATGCCAGTTTCATGCTTAGGTAACTAGCATGAGCACTCAGCCTTAACTCCAGCTTAACCTCATTTTTGTCTGGAATCTACACCCAGGTTTATGAACACGTGCACACACACACGCAGCCACAGACACAGACACGTGGGACCTCACCTTCAGAGGAGACAGCACTGGGATTGCACTCGTAATAGCGCTGTGAAAAATGCGCCAGCACACGCTCTCGTTCCTGAGTCTCCCCCATCAGAGCCAGCTCCTTCAGAAAGGACCTAAAGAAGAAATGCTGATCAGGAACTGGATCAATCATTGTCTGTGTCAGCTCGCCCTGTTAAGAAGCAGACTTGTTCTCTGTCCCCTAGAGGAAAGATCCCTGCTCTGGTTGGAAGGGTTCCAGAATCTAAGACATCCTCCAGGACTGACAGGTTGTAAAGGAAGGCCAGTGATGCTTTTCCATGTTGTG